TCTGTCCTCTAGGGGCGCTGTGGGTCGGAATGGACTCCACGGCAGTGGGTGTGGTTTGGGCTTTGCTTCTGTGAAGATCGACAACCTTGGAGACCCTGTGGGGCAGTTCCACTCTGTCCTCTAGGGGCGCTGTGGGTCAGAATGGACTCCACGGCAGTGGGTTTTGTCTCAGTGATCTCTGGGAGTAAGAGAAGACCTCAGGAAGGTTCTGGAAGCTTCTTTGCACAAGAACTTGGCCGGAAACTCCATTAGCCATGCCTGCAAGAGTCCGAGCAAGTTCCGTGACTCCACTGGCCTTTTGCTGGCCCAGGTAGATCCTCACAGACCCTGCAAAATCCTGCGAGAATGGAGGCCGGGGACGAGACCATTGTCTCCTCATCAAAGCTCAGCTACCTACGCAGGGTGCCCTACACCTGAGCATAGCACTCTACAGTTTGCCCCCTGCTTTCTCACCCACGGTCTTGTTCAACCCTCCCAGCATCCAGGGGACAGGCAGACAGGCAGGGCTGGTCATTCCGTTTTGCATGTGTAGTAACCGAGGCTGCAAGGAGGGATGTGACTTGGATGACACCCCCCAGTCAAAGCTGGAGATGGGCTTTTCACCCACATCCAGAGCCCAGCCAGCTCCCTGCCGTTCATGTCATTCTACCATCGGACGGTCACAACTCGAGGGCCTGCTGTGTGCTGGGCCTATGCGGGCACTGGGGTCTGGCATGAACAAGGCCTCAGGTTGTCTCACGATCCAGAGAGAAGAGAAACACAGCCTCCAAACGGATGCCTCTGCTTTTCAGCCTGCAGAGAGCCTGGCCCCTTCTTCACCCGGCAAACTCCTACTCATCCCTCAGTGCCCAGATCAGTGACTGACCCAGGCACCTCTAGGTTTGAGGAAGAATAGTGGTTTGGTTTGGCCAAACGGAGGAAAAGACAGGAGCCCGTGGCTGGCAGGGAAGGTGGGGGCTGCCTCCCACAGGCCACAGGGAGGTGACTCTCCTGGGAGGGGTGGGGGCTGATCTGCACTGTAGGGGTTGAGTGCTGCCTGGGCTCCCCACCGCGCCCCTGCCGGGCTCCCCAACGCGCCCCTGCCAGGCACCTCACTGCTCCCCCGCCTGGGTGGTCCCCTGCCGGGGCCCCCCACCATGCCCAGCTGGGCTCCCCACTGCACCCTGCCGGGCTCCCATAGTCAGGTGGCTGCTTGGGGCTTTGCTTGCCTGAGACTAGGCTGGGTTTCCCCACGCTGACCACAAAGCACTCAGAGCTGTCTCCATGGGTTTGCTTTTTGAGTTTTAGTATTTTATTGTTTTTGGTGAAAGTTTATGCAGTTATTAGGCTCCCATTGGACAATTTCTGTGGTTTGCTCTGTGACGTTGGTTAATTTTCTACAATTGCCCACGTCCTCCTTCCTCGTGCTCTGGTTGGCCTGTTTCCAGCGCTCTAGTCTCCCTGCCCCCTTCTCCTGTCAGCTTTGCTTAGGCAAAGATGGCCTTTTGGTGCCGTGTAAAACCAACCCAACCCAACCCACTGCCGTGGAGTCCATTCCTATTCCTAGTGACCCCACTGGGTTTCTGAGGCTGTACATCTTTAAGAAAGTAGATTGCCCTGTCTTCCGTCCATGGAGTGGCTGGTGGGTTTGAACCGCCAACCTGGTTAGCAGTCGGATGCCTCAGGCAGTTTTACATGGCGCATCATACTCACAGGTGACATCCTCTAGTTTGTGTGTCACTGTGACTTTGCTGAAAGGTGACCTCAGGGTTACTTTTTGAGGAGGTCTCAGGGCAGTAGTCTCGGGGAGTCTTCCAGTCTCCACCAGTCCAGTAAGTCTGGTTTCTTTAAGAATGTGGGATTCTGTTCTGTGTTTTTCTCCCGTTCCATCCAGGTCCGTCTCTCGCGGCCCTGATTGGAGTGGTCAGTAGTGCTGGCCGGGCATCATCTAATTCCTCTGGTCTCAGGGTACAAGAGGCCGTGTCCACAGTGTTTAACAGACGTTTGTTGGACAGTGGGTTCTGGGGCCTTATATGTGTGGAAACCCGGCTTCTTTCCTTTGTGCAGTGAGGGTGAGGGTGGTACGAGGCTCAGTCGGCCCAGTCTGTGTCCCCACGATGGTTTCCCGTGAAGTAGCAGGCGGCACCAGCAGGAGTGGTGTTTGCAGGTGGCCACTGCAGGCACCTGGAGACCTGGTGGCCAGGCAGTGGCTGAGGCCTCAGGGGTGAGGCAGGTTGGGCCGCTCATCCTCAGAGGCTGGTTGGGAGGTGGAGGGAGAGGCAGACCCAGCTGGGACCCCAGGAGGAGGCAGAGGGGGGACGGAGTTGGAGAGGCGTCCTTGGGGGAGCAGCACAGACAGAAGGTAGCCAGTGGGTGCCTTGTGCTGTGTCCCAGGTCAACAGACACAGCATCAGGTTTCCAACGGCTGAGAGGTGGGCTCCCAGGACCTGGGGCGGAGGGCAGAGGCCACACCTCCTTTTGGGCTAGGCTAGCCCTTCACTCCATACTGGGGAAGTGGTGGGAGGTTACACAGGGCAGGTGCCCTCCCTGAGTCTCTGCAGGAAACCTCTCCTGCGGCTGCAGAGCTCCAAGCTCGGGGTGTTAACTCCCCTCATAGGCCCAGCTCAGGGCCTGCCCAGCCCAGGCTCCGGGAGGCACCATCTTTGCCCCACATGGGCTCTGTCACTGCCCCAGAGTGTAGACCCTGCTGTGGACAGTGCTTGAAGTACCCCCCGGAGGGGCCCGCAGGGCACAGCACATACCAGCCATGCTGCCATCAGTAACATTGTCCCATTGCCAGTGACGTCACCACCTCCTCTCCCTCTTCTAGATCACCTGCCAGCGTCCCCCACAGCCTGGGTGGGCG